TGCTGCTTGGCCTACTGTGTTCATCCAGCTCTACTCCTTGTTATACCATCCTGGAGTCTCTTTTGCAGCAGCACAAAGACCTGTCTGTTCCCCTTACTGACGGATAGTAAGCCACTGGTCAATATTGCCTCGCCTCAAGGAGACAAACCATGCCTTCTGTAAATTCTGAAATGTACGTGAATAAAGGCTAATTAAATCTGGCTGACACCTTTGCAACTGTACCAGTGAGGAAGAAATGGCTTCAGGAAGGTGCAACGATTGAGTTTGAGCAGACAGTAAAATGTAAAATTAGATTATGATTAATTTTGGGAATGTTTAACAGCAACTGGTTGTTATCACCTGATGTTTACAGGTATATAACCAGTGGATAATGTTAGTAGAATATTAAGTCTGAAAGTCATTGACGGATTTCCTAGAATGTACATATTTTTAATCTCATTTTGCAGGAGAATGTAACTGTGATGTACAGGAACTAATGTTAATGCAATTTTGTTCCCCAAGCATTTACCAGCATTTATGGAGAAAGCTGAAGGACTTTTGCAAACTCTAACTCTTGTTCCCATTATGAAGCAATCCCAGACAAATAAGGCAATATTCTCCACCCACCCAGAGACATACTTCCAAAATAGCAATGAACAAGCTCTTCTGTTTGAAAAATCTGATGTCACTCCCACAGAAACTGAAGAAAAAAATTTGCTGAAGTGTCGTAAGTCACAGAAAAGAAAATTAGATTCTTACATTAACCGAAAATATCCAAAACGAAGATTGCATCTTGGTCAGTAATCCTGTGCAGTATTCAGTGTCAACAGACAGCTTGTACATTTTGTATAGCATGTTTTTTTTAAAAGTGTTTCTAGTCAGATCTGGTGGAAAAGTTAGGTCTTTTGCATCTTTGTACTCTAACCACTTGCAAACTATCTGCAAAGGTATTTATCCCAAGTTGTCTATTCGTATAATTAGATACTGTGATAATGCCCAGCCCTGACGAGAGGTTGTAAAGTGAGAGAAAATTAAGTAGATTTAAAATATTTTGTTTGAATAGGTGGAACCTAAAACAGATTTGCCACCTTATTTACTTTGAAAGAAAGTTGATTTTGTTCAGATTTTTGTATTTCAGAAGCTGACTCTGTTATAGAGTTCCATTCCTGTTTTAGTGCTTAAAATCTCCAGAAAAGATTTCTTAAATTGTATATAAAAAGCTTGATTTTTGTATTGGTTACTTTTTAATTTTTTTTTCCTCTGCTTTCTGTTCATTTACTTCTTAAATGAACAAGTCTGGTATTCTGTTACAGAGCAATATACAATTGTGATTCAGTTACTTCACATCTAACAAATGATGACTCAGTTAAAGTGAACTTGTATGAATGTATTGAAAATGAAATGGAAATGAAATTTTTATAAATGGACAATGAAATGTGAATTGTTTGGCTACTTTTAACTATCTTCTGTAAGATAACATTGATTTTTAAAAATGTGGAATAACATATACCTATTGGTCCTTTGAATATTGTAAAGTTCAAGGTTGTAAATATTTACTGTCTGTTTTTGCATGTTTCCTTAATTTTAAATAAACTGAAGATGCATAAATATATTGTAAAGCTATATTTTTTAAAAGCTGGCAGATTTTTCATGGCACTAGACAATGCTTTCTAGAAGGAACAATGTAGCTTTTTCTAACTTGTACATGGTACAAGAGAATCACTGGTAGGGCCAGTATGTATTGCAGCTCCTTTAATTGCACTTGAGAATTTGGTACTGAGTCACTCTTAAACTCATGCGGTCTATGTGGTGCTGTTGCACCTACAGTGCCCGTAAAGGGGTGACAAAGTTCTGACCCAGTGGTGGAAGAATATATGTCTAAGTCAGGACGAGGAGGAGCTTGCAAGTGTGGTGTGCTCCTGTGTTTCTGTTGACCTTGTTTTACCTGATGGAAGTTACTGTTGAAGGAACCTTGGGGGCAAGTTGCTGCAGTACACCTTTGTAGATGATATCTAGTACCACTGTACACTAATGTTGAAGGGACTCTGTGTTTTTAAACTAGTGGATGGAGGCTGATCAGGCAGGCTGTTTTTTTTTTTTCCTCGATGGTGTTGAGCATCTTGCGTTAGACCCATACCTAACCAAGTAATTGGAGTGTACTTCTTCACACCGGTGACTTGTATCTTGTGGTTTATGCATTTGGGGGTGTTCAGTGATGTTAATGCTGTTGAATATCAAGGAGAGGTGTTTAGATCCTTTTATATTAGACCTTGTCGTTGCCTGGTACTTGAATGGAGCAAATACTGCTTGTGACTTGTAAGAGGCAGCAGTTAATATTGTTGCATATCAACTATGGAGTTGCAAATAGTACTGAATACTGCAATTATCACTGAATATTTCAGTTCTGACCATGTGTTAGAGGGAAGGCTATTGGTAAAGCAACCAATTTGGTTGGCTTTAGAAATGACTGAAGAGCCCCTGCAGTGATGTCCTCGGGCTGAGATGCCATTAGGCCACCAACAACTACCATCTTTCTTTTTATGCTAGATATGATTAACAAGAAGAGTTTTCCCACTGTTTTCCATTGACTTCACCTTTGCTAGGGGTATACAGGCAATTTGGGCAAGTAGCAGGATAATGCTGGTCAATGTGTAGTCATGTGTGCAGAGGCCTGCAAAAAAATTAGGAGGACTATCCAGCTGAAGAATGCAAGTTCTAGGAAAATTTATTTTGTCCCAGTGAATATGTTGGACTGTTGTTATGAACCCTGTAGTGACTTTTTAAAAAATTACTTCCAGTTAGCCACTAAATTATCACATGATTTAGACTTAAGACTTTTCAATAAAATAAACTAAAAGGCAAATTGACTAAACTCTATTTCATTGGGTGACTATATTCTAAACTATAGAAAAGTTTCTCCATTTAACTTCTAAAATGTTTGAAAATTGCCAAGTGTGTTTAGAGTTATCACTGATGTCCTTCCAATTGTCAAAAGATGTGAACATCTTGCACTTTCTTCCCAGTAACTCTATCTGTATCATTGTCCTCATAGCAACCAAGCTTGTCAAACAGGATTTGCATGACCTGTTTCAATACACTTCAGTTCTCCTGTCCAAAGGCAGTTTGAACCAAAGCACCATGAACTTCACCATAAGTAGAGCAAAGAGATAGGTCTTGAACCCATTCCAACCTTTTATGTGTATGTTCTAGTCCAAAAATTTTTGATAATGATGGTACAGTCTCCCAATTCCTTTTCCATCATATGGCTGAGCAGGTATCTCTCCTGCTGTTAACATTGAAATGCTGTTGGCGTAGGTTGGTAAGATATAAGTTGGTACTTAACTTATTTGGACACTCCTCGGTTATCAAGTATTGGAGTGGGATTTTAACCAGAACTTTGATTCAAAGACTAGATGTTGTCACAAGATGGGCTGAAAAATGGCAGATAAAGTTCAATTTGGATAAATGCGAGGTATTGCATTTTGGTATGACAAGCAGGGGCAGGACTTCTACAATTAATGGTAGGGCCTTCTAGTGTTGTAGAGCAGAGGGACCTAGGGATTCTGGTACATAATGCTTTAAAGTTTGCATCACATATAAACATGGTGATTAAGAAGGGGCTTAGCACATTTGCTGTCATTGCTCAGGCCTTTGAGTGTGGGAGTTGGGAAGTCATGTTGAGGTTGTACAGGACATTGGTGAGGCCTCTTCTGGAGTACTGTGTGAAATTCTTGCCCTGTTACAGGAAGAATATTATTAAGCTGGAGAGGGTTCAGAAGAGATTTAACAGGATGTTACTGGGTATGAAAGGTCTGAGTTATTTGGATAGGTTGGGACTTTTTTTTTCACTGAAATGTAGAACGTTGAGAGGTGACCTTTTATAGAGGTTTATAAAATAATGAGCTGTGTAGACAAGCTTAACGATTAGGCATCTTTCTCTAGGATGAGGGATTTCAAGACTAGAGGGTATATTTAGGGTGACTGGAGAAATATTTAAAAAGTACATGATGGGCAATATTTTTAAGTGGTTTATAGTTGGATGAATTGCCAGAGGAAGTGGTAGATGAAGGTACAGTTAATGTTTAAAAGACACTTTGGATAAGTACACGAATAGGAAAGGTTTGGAGGGATATGGGCCAGAGGCAGACGGGTGTGACTAGTTTAGTTTGGGAACATGGTTGGCATGGACTAGTTGGACCGAAGGGTCTGTTTCCATGCTGTATGACTGTGACTGCCCCTTCAATAATTTATCTCCTCTTAACCTGATGGTTCCAATTAAGGACAAACATTTTAACTTTACTTTTGCTACAGTTCCTAGTTCTTGTCAGCTTGGGGGAGAAAACAGCACTAGTGTGAGGGTTAGGGCTTGAGATTGTCTAGTCTACATTTGAGTGAACTAGCAAATTAACACCTGTTAGTTAGGGCAATCATAAGTAAAAATGCACACTTTTTCTAGGTATTACAATATAGATGTGGTGGAACAATAGACTTGTAATTACATATGAATAAATGTATGGCATTGGTTCTGACGCCTTTGTGGTTATTTTTAGAATAACATAGATTCCATGCAGAGGATAGCATGAGACTTGGTACCTCTTCTTGCAAGAGGAGATAATTGCACACTTACCAAGATTGTCTCAGTAGCAATGTTAGCTGTAAGAATAAATGATGGAAATATAAAATAAATACAAAACCTAAGACTTTTGATAGCAAATGGTGGATTACTCTAGTTCTAGCAACTTCTGTGCAGACAAATGGAACTAGCGTTCTGAAAAGGCATCAAAACAAAATATTAACTTTGCTTCTCTTTCTACAGATGGGTCCAGACTGGCTCTGAACATCCAATATTATTTTGGATTTCCAGCATCTAATATTTTGCTTGTACCATTAAAATGGAAATTGATTTATGTCTGCATATCTTAATCCAATCAGGTGTGTAACCATAAAGTCTAAGCCAGGTCATAGCAGAAGAGACAGCAAATATGATTGCATTGAATCGGAGGCAACCTACTAATAAGGGATTGCTTAGGGGATAGAAGACAAGTAGGAATAGCAAGTAAAACTCTTAAAAGATGTTTAATGTGGGGAAGTGTGAGGTCTTCCACTTTAAACCCAAGATGGATCAGGCTATAGGCCAAATGGCAAGAAACTAAAGAGGGGACATTTAGCAGTCAAAGTACCTATCCACTAGCTTTTGGTGATTTCTGTATGAAAATTAAAAGGCCTAAGATTTTTTTATTTCATTTCAGCTGAAATGCAAAGAAAGGGAAGTTGTTATGATCGTACAGAGCTCTGGTTGGATCCCATTTAGAGTGCTGCAGTCAGTTCTGGGCACTGTACCTTATGAAGCAGATATTGGCCATGTTGATCTGTGGTGCAGCACGGATTCAGCAGAATGATGCCAATGTTAAAAGGGCTACGTTATCAGGATAAATTGACTGGACTAAGTTTGTAATCATTTGAGCATTGACAATTAAAGATAATTTACTTGACATGTTTAATTTGATTAAAGGAAGTGAAAGGGTAGATACAAACCATTTCCCATGGTAGAGATTCCAAAATAATGGAATGTAATGGCCCAAATCTTACAATATTTGTATCATCAAAATCTGAGTTGAGAGAAGTTGTCAGGACCCAGCAGAAGACCTGCCACAAACTTGTGCTATAGATGCCCAGGAAATTTAAACATCCATTGTGGACCCTCTACAAACTCGATCACTGTGTCAAGGATTTGGACCAGACTTGTGCAACTTAAACAGTATGATTTTTGCTTTATAATACTTGATATAACTCGATTAACCATTGTATCTGAACTGAACACCATAACTGACACCACCAACACCGTTGACCCAACTAACATTACCCCAACACTGATCATAAGACATAGGAGCAAAGTAAACCATTCATTCCCATTGAGTCTGCTCTACAATTCAATGACATTATGGCTGACTTGATTATCCTTAGCTCTGTTTGCCTCTCTTGATCAATTATGCACTTCCTATAATGTGACTGCATACGAGTTAGTACCTGAGTTATACAGGCAAAAATTCTGGAATTTATGGAAGCAGGCTGGGCAAATCTATATTGAATTTGAAAGGTTAAGCAAAGTAATTTTGACAGGTGGGAAAGGGCATGAGAATGTGAAACTATGTATAAAGTTCTTGGAGAGGTTATTCTCTGAGGAATTTAAAACTTACTACCTTCTAGGACCTCACAAATAGTAATCTCTGATTTACTTACAGTACCATGTGAAGTGAGTACAGAAATAAGGGGACAAGACAGATGAATGTGTAGCTGTAAAACTGATGCTTTAGATTCCTATGACACGCTGACTGGCTCTGGGCGAGATACATCTTGTCACAAGTTAACTGGAAAGAGTGTGCCAATCATCATGCCCCACTGTTTCAGAAGCCTTTACAAAATGTATAACGTCCCATTTTGACAACCAAGATGGCCAATTTGCCTGACTGACTATTATTCGGAACAAAAACTATTCCCACCAGGTTTCGTTGTTAATAGAAGGTAATTCTATTTATTGTAACAGACTTAACTAACAAATGGCAGAAAAAAGAATGGATTTCTAATCTATTACTGTGCAATTTAAAATATATCCCTTTAAAATCTCAATACACCCAAAGACTTGGTCACAATTTAGAAAAAAAGTTTTGCATATTATGAGAGAACAACAATAAGCTAAGCAAAATTCCAAAGATCGAGTATCCAGATTGAGGGTGGGTTAAATTGTTTTACATTGTTCCTTTTGATTTCAGCAATACTCACGTGCTGTTGTCTGGAAAGTAAAGATTGTTCTTCACTTCAGTAGTTGTTCCAGTGGATCTAGGTCTTTTCTTCCTAAAATTCATTCTTTTGATTTTGCTGTTTGCCCACATGGACAGAGAGATAGATATTTTCAGTTTGCAGGTTCTGGATATCTTTGGTTGTCCTTGCACTTATAGTTTTACACCAAACTGTAACTCAACCAATCGGAGGACTGTTATCAGGCAAAATTTCCTTAACTCAAAAGACTTTTGATGCTACTTTGCCACAAAGTATTCCGCTCACTGCTTCAAAAAGTAACATTATGTTGCTCAAGTAAAAATATATAGTGGACAATCCCAGTTGTTTTGTTCAAGTTGCAAAACTTTCCTGGTATTGCAGCTGTATAGAGTCATATAGCACAGAAACACCCTTTGGTCCAACTCGTCCGCACCAACAAGACATCTCAACCTGACCTAGTCCCGTTTGCTAGCATTTGATCTGAGTTCCTTGCAGGGCCTTTTGCTCGTGTGTAGGGGAGACTTTAAACTAAATCAGGAGGGTTAGGGGAGCCAGGAGAGAATTATCAGACAGTAATACAAGGGTGCACAAAGCATTGGGAAAGACAGTAACAGAACAGAGAATAAATAGTAGGCTAATAGATCAAGTCGGAATAGGGAAGAAATCAAAATATTCTAAACCAAGCTTCCATTGCAAGTGTGTGAAGGTAGAGAGTATATAAGATTGGTGAGTTACAGGTGCAGACTGCCTTACAGATTTATCACTGGATTTGCAACATAATGTAATTAAAGTATTCAATGATTCATTGCCAATTGCTCGTAACTAGATTTTGAGAACAACACATTTATATCTTATACAGAAATTAACATATTGTTAATATTTAGCATATACACTAACTTTGCAGAGCAAAGCTAACCGATGATACAATCTAATTAAGGTCTATGATTTGAACCTAATCCTCTTTGATCGTAACCTCCATTTCGCACACAAAGACAGCCAGTTAGGAATACATTAAAAAGAAAATAAAAGAATTGTAATTTGCCAGTTAGATAACCATTTCAATGGTGAGTACCAGTTCTTTACGGAATCTTCGAAAAATGTATATTATGTAGAAATCTATCTTACTTGATTTCTTAGGTCACTGGTCAATTAAATCAGCTTCCAGCAGGCTCCAAGGAATATTCACATATTTCTTGAAATTGGAATTCTTTTCTCCGAACATGCAACAATTCTTTAATTGGATGTAAAACTAAACAAAGTAAAACTCAGGAAGCAGTCTCCGGAAGACTCTCAAAGCAAAACACCTTTTGTCCAAACACCCGGTCAGAGCCAGTTCAATTCATGGTTTCACTTTTTTTCCAAAGTTCTTTGTGGTTAGTTGGCCAGAACTGTCTCATCTCGACCAATACAACAGCCAACCAGCTGCCAGTCCTTCAGCATAACACCTGGTGTCAAAATGTCTGCAGAGTTTTTAGAACGATAACCAATCTGCATTTATCTTTCCAAGCTAGTTCCAATACTCAAGCTTCAGTTTTTTTCTTTTTAATCAAGCTGCTATTCAGTTCAAAGTTCAATTCTCAACTTAAGCTCACAGATCCAAATCAAAAACAGCGATGGTCTCAACAATACAAGGTACTCGGGAGCAGAGTTCAAGGACAGAATAATTTTGGGTAGAGTTAAGGAACAAAAAAAACAGTGCAATGACATTGCTCAGTGTAATCTATAAGCTACTAAATGCTGGGAAAGATCTGCAAGGAAGTTACAGAGAGGTGTTACAATGGAAGCCTTGAAATTATCTGAATGTAGACTGTGTAGAGTGGTAGTGTAAAAGGCAGAGAGTGGCAAGTGTTCCAAGATCATGTTCAGGAGAATTTTCTATAGCAGTATGTGTCCAGATGATAGGAATGCAGGCATTATTCCTGGTTCTAGGGAAAGAGATGGGCCAAGTAGATCAAGTGTCAGTTGGGGAATATTTAGGGAGCAGTGATCGTTGTGTCATAGGGTTAAGGACGATGGTGCAAAAGATCAATGGACAAACAGGGTAAGAATAATTAGTTGGGGAATAGGTCACATCAATGGGAAAACAGAGTTTGGTGAAATAGATTGGAGGCAAAGGTTGGTGGGAAAAACTGCAGCAGAATAATGGACTTCCTTCAAAGAGGAGGTAGTTCAGGCACTGTCATGGTGCATTCCCTCAGAAAGGTAGAGCTTTCTGAATCAAAATTGATGTAGAAATTAAGAGATGATGATCACCTTAGATGATGGTGTTTCCCCACTACACCTTTGTGGCAGCTGCCCTAAGCATTAATGCGCATAGTTTAGGGTCTTGGAATGTGCCAGTCTGCAACACTCAGTAGAGGTCAACTCTTTACACTGAAAGACCAACAAGTTTCAGGCAGACCAATGAGCATCTCTCACTGAGTTGATGGTCCTCCAGATGCAGTCAATGTTTGTCTTGGAGTGTGTCCTGGGAAACAGGCTGTGGAATACAGAGTCCTGCATCACAGAACTGCTTGGAATGAAAGTCAGCTGCATCTTTCTGTGGACCTTCTTTGCAAAGGCACATTCCAAGGTGGTGTGTGACAGTCTTTTTCCCCCTCACAGTTGCTTGCAAGGCAACGTGCAGTGCTGGAGAGAGTCCAGGCGTACATGAAGAATCTTCGAGCTAGTGCCCTTCTCAGCACCAGCCAAACTAAGTCTTGGTGATTGTTGGAAAGCTATGAATGAGTCAGTTTTTTATATTTCAAAAATAAACTTTATTCATTAAAAAATCTTTATGTACATACAGTACAGAATCACAAATGCAGTTCGGTTCTGAACAAGTAGCATATCAAGGAAACAAAAACATTGGAGGTTGAATCTATCCAACGAACCAAAAACATTTCCTCTTTATACTACACTATACTTACATGCCTTTGAGGCACCGGGAGGGTCCAAATGGAACCACATTTAACCATGGCAGAAAAACCTCAGACAATATGGAGCAGATGAAATAGGAAATAAAGCATAAACATCAACGCAGAGAAGAATGGCCTGCTCCTGGACCGTGTGTTGGCTGTTACTCCATTTAATTAGGATTACTGCAAGAACGTTCATTTATTTAAATTCACGTTTAGGCTTCCGCTGTCAAGCTTTAAAATTACCGTCATTTTTCATTTCCCAAATGAAGTTCCACTGCCCCTATGAACTACTCGCCTCTTTTCAGGATTTCCTGTACATTCAGTCCGATAGGACATGCTCTGGACGCGCCCTGATCATTTTAATAAATTACCGATACACAGAAAAACTCGACAACGTTCTGTGTAATGCCAGAAGGCGCAATGAGCAAATATATAATACATGTTGACTTTTTAATCTAAGTAACGTCAACGTCGTTAAACTCTCACAGACACCACAATTTTTTTAAAGTTATCAACATGTAAGGCCGATGCACAAAATATAAATGAACATGCTTACGGTGTTTCTGACTGCTTTGAGTTGGAGATGACCCTGGTATCACTTTCATAGTAGTTATTTTGAGTGATTTCACAGGTATTATATGAAGAAGCAGTTACGGGCAGGTTTCATCTCCATGTTATTCTTTATAGTTTCCGAAACAATGACCAATATTCAGTCACTCAAATGTTTCCAATTAAACTAAGCGCTGTAGTTGCCTGGAAGTGTAATGTGGAATATAGCGACATTTTTGAGCAAATAAAAAGGCTTAGACTTTATACTTGGAGTAAATCAAAAGCAAAATACTGCGGATGAGGGAGATCTGACATAAAGCCAAGTGCTGCAGAAACTCGGTAGGTCGGCAGCATGTGGAGAGAAAACAGTTAATATTTCGAATCACGTTGGACTCCAATTACTAACGCTTCTCTCTCCGAGATGCTGCCTGACCAGCCGAGTTTCTCCAGCATTTTCTGTTTTTACTTCACATTTGGAGGGTGGCCCGTTAAAACAACGACTTCCAGTAGCTGTCTCATGCTATTGTTAAGTAAGTTTGAATAGTCATGGGTCTGTTAACGGGAGACAGATCACCCCATCTTTTTTTGAGATTCCTTCTGGCTTTAAAGATAAGCCACGACACGTGACTTACTGCAATGTTGCGAGCACATTCCAAGAAGAAAATGTTTTCTGACAAAGTGAAACTCTCAGAACTGCTTTTAGTTTTATAATTGCATCACAACACAAAAAAGATTTCCTGAACTCAATTACAGGCAGCAGTACTCGCCTCTAGATCTAAAGAGCAGTTCAATGGGAAATCCGGGCGTTTGATAGCAAGCTACTCTCGAATTTCCTTTTGCATTCGGTTACTGCTGTCTGTCTGTGCACATATGTGCTCACTTGTGTGTCATGTCTGAGGTAAACTCTCCAAGGTTAATCGTGCATAGTCCAGCAAACGACAGCTCCACAGACCGAGAATCACAGGTCAGTAGGAAATATGTTCCCAATCTGGTTGCAGTTCTCCACTACCCGCGCCGACTATCACTGTGTTCGAAAGCATATTTTCAAGTCAAAATCCCATGTTTGAACTTTAGGACCTTGGAAGCGATAACAAGAAGCTCCGAAGAAGAGAGAAAAACCGAATTGCCGCGCAAAGAAGTCGAAAGAAACAGACGCAGAAAGCAGATAAACTACACGAGGTAAAATGCAGAGGAACGGTCGGGCCTTTGAATTTTAACTCCTTCATAACAGTATGCAAATAATGATTAGCAATAAAACTAATCGATAGTGAATACGATACGGTTAGACATAACGAAAGATATTGTGTTATCAAAAAATTAATTTGCACTTATTGGCATTTTGAATCCTGAGATACCTAACTTTTAATATCAAAAAAAAAATTTGAGATTTTGGTTAACTGGTAGTTATTTAAGTAAATTTCATCAAAATGCAAACCTGAAACGGAACTGCTGTGCCAATTTAAGCAGGCACATCAATACACTGCTTTCATTGACTGTTCCTGAGATTTGCTTAACATTTCCCGCTAACCTGTGTGAGGAATTTTCTTGCATCTGATTTACGATATGTTAACTGCATATTTGCAAACTACTTAAAGATTTCTGGGAAGAGTTAAATGCAAATCGAGCTTGGATGCTGAGTAACAAAGCCTAAGATTGCCATGGCCGTGTAGCTTAAATGACCTTGACTCACCCCCAACGACAGATGTGTCCGTTTGAGGCAAATGTTCACAGCTCTATCATTCGTACAGAGCTGTCAGTTAAAGTATCCTGAGCTCTTTACACCTTCTGTATCAGTTTGTGCAAGTTTTGCCTTCTCTCATTCCTCATCGAGCTTATATTATTTATTCAAAATTAAACACCCAAGTGTACCACTCTGCCTGGCAATAACATGTTAACAAGTTGGTTGGAGTTATGCGAAACGTATAGTCATATCTCCTTTTTGGATTTAACAAAAATGCAATTTCTTAGAAATGTGTGCTCATCAGAGTGAAATCTTCACTGATGCGGGAATCTTTCATCTTTTTCGCTTTTATGGCTGTGTGAATCATTTCTAGATCTGCGTAAGTGTGGGTTAGATGCACTGTATAGTTTAACATAATCCACCCACACAATCAGTGTGAAAACCTTATTACTCTTGTCAGACATTCTTGGACATTAATGACGGAAAGTTGATATTCAGGTTCAATTAGGAAAGCAAATAGTAAGTTTGCCTTTATCACAGAGGGATTGGAAAATAAGAATAAAGAAATCTTACAGCAGTTATGTAGGACTTTCATGAAACTGTGCAGTTTTGGTCTCCTTAACCAAACAAGGATTTTCTTGCCAGAGGGAATGCAGCAAAGGTTTGCACCTGGCTGCAAAATCAAGGCCTTTATCTCTGTGGACCTAGTGTTATGGCCTTGGGAAGTATTAAAACAGATCGAAATGTTAATTAGTAGTTCATAGATTAAATAACAAGGAATGTCTAATATTAATCCAAGTAGGGCATTTTTATGTAGCATTTCAACAGAAATTGCAGCGCAGAAAGTGATTATTTGGCTCAACTAGTCCATGCTGCATCCAGTTTTCCTGTCACCTGTCTCTGTCTCAGTTTGTCAGCATATTTCAAATTCTTCCTCATGCATTTGTCTAACTTCCCCTTAAATGCATTGAACCTGTTCCATTGAACCATTTCTGTGTTGTGGTAAGGTCCATATTCCCCCGTTTACTGAATAAAGAGGTTTCTCCTAAATGTCTTATAGGCTACTGTCTCATCCTTAGTTTCGTTATCACAAATATTGAAAGCATTTTCTTCATATTAGAATTAGAATTAGGTTCATTGTCACATACTCAATTGCAGGGATGCTGGAGAACAGTGAAAAGTGTATAAATTTGCCATTCTTTGGTGCCAACTTAGGCACAAAGGTATCTAGATACAACATCTTAGGTATAAAGTAGAAAATAAAGAAATAAAATTAAAAGTTTAGCATTACAGCTCTTCTTAAGTGCTTAGCCACAGGCATGGATCCAGTCTCTTCTGCCCCAACATTGAGACTGTCGCCAACATGAGTCCCCTCGCCATGCCACGCCACAGAACTTTTTTGCTGTTCTTCAGTGCCATCTTGCCTCTACTGACGATGTAGCTGCCATGAGACCGCACTGGGATGGGTACTGTCCACAGAAAGTAAGTAAGGTTAAAGTAAAAGAAAAAGCAGAGAAAGAAAGAAAAGCTTATGAAGGAGACGAGTCTGCGCAGGGCTTGGCTCCACTTCGAGTCCACGTTGGGCTTCAACTCGGGTCTACACAAGGCTTTACTATGAGTCCGCGCTGGGCTTCTGCACTGTCTACACTGGCACACCCTTTAATAGATTTAAAACCTCTGTCAGGTTACCCCTTCTCCCCCCAACCCTTCTCTTTAAAGGGGAAAGATGCCAAACCCCACTGCCAACCCCCTTGTTCGATCTTTCCCCATGTTATGATCTCTCAGGTCTTATTAGTGCATGGGAGGGTAGACTGCAATGCAGCTTAGGAAAGAGTTGCTAGTTAGATCACACTTCTGAAGCTCCCCTTGTCTTCAGAGCTACTTTTGATAAATTCCAATCCATCAGTAAATATCTGCTAACTGACTGTTCTGTGATTTACTCTTTATTCCATTGCAAAATATCAACTGAATGAATGTATTTGCTCTGCTGATAGGTTATCAATCTGAAACATTAACTCTGCTTTTCTCCACAGATGCTGCATGACTTGCTGAATATTTCCATTTCTACTTTTTTAGTTTTATATTTAGTTAATTTAATGTTTGATTATTTCATATATAAGACCTCACTTCAGTTAATCAGTTATTTTTGCTTTGAGGACTTATGATGCTTTGAGTTTAGACACCTTATAAGATGTTACATGACAAGTCTTTAAACTTTTAATAATGCATATGTAGCCTGTCTTACTTTACCTATGTAAAATCGGGACAAAATACATTTTCCTCAAAGAACATCATTAATATTGTAGTATAGACAAAGTGCATAATCGATACATAATATAGGCAAAGGAATCTCCCACTTCCGAAGCTTCATAGAAATATTATTTTCCAGTCATTTATTGAAAGTAGGCATAGGCAGTAAGACCAGCATCGGGAACTCCAGAACTTGACCCCACTACAGTGAAGGAACAACAATATATTTCTTGATCACAATTGTGCTTCACTTGGGGAAAATTTGCAAGTGGTGGTGTTCCCATTATGGAGATCCTACCCTTGTTTTTCTCGGTGATCCTCTTCTTGGCATTTCTGTGTGGATGCAGATTTTAGGAAGGTTGTACTCATTGGTCCCAGGCCTGCAGTGGGTAGTTGGGCCAACCCGTGGCTTGTAGTTTCTCCAACAGTGGGTGCAGATGAAGGTGTTGTCACTGCTGGGAATAATTGAATCTATACTTCTCTTCCATGCTGGTTGTTTGTTTAGTCTTATAAGTCTCTGTAGCGCTCCTAATATAGCATCTCCAGGCATCTATTGCCTCCTCTTTCCACTGTCAGTGGTCAATGTGACGGAAAGAGGAACTTCTTCAAGGAGTTATTTGTGTTCCTAGGGCACTATAAAAGAAGGGCAGTATAATTCTAGTCATGATGGTGTAAGACAACAGTGAGGGAGGGATCTTGCAGCTGTTGGTGTTTTAGTGCTGGTGATGCTGCCTTTTACCGTCCAAGTAATGGAGGTCATAAATTTAGGCATTGCTGTTGAAGGAACTTCAGAAAGTTTCTGCAGTGCATCTTGCAGCCAGTGTGCATCAGTGGTGGAGGAGTAAATGTTTAAGGTTGTGTATGAGGTGTCAAACAAGACAGCTGCTTTGTTCTGAATGGTCTTGAGCTTCTTGAATGTTGTTTCGCTTCATCCATCAGGCATGTGGGGAGTATTTCATCACATCCATGTCCTGTTGCCTGTGGATGGTGGACAGGCTTTAGGGAATGAGAAAATGGGTTATTCATGCAGAATAACTAGCCTCTGATCTACTTGTATAACAACAGTATTTATGTGGCTGGTACGGAGCAGTAGTACGATGATGATGGGTGTTTCAGTAATGATAATACTATTGATTATCAGGGAGAGATGGTGACATTCTCTTATTGGCGATGTTCGTTTCCTGTCACTTGCGTCGTATGAATTGTATAGTTGCAGGCCTGACTATGTCATAGAATTATGAAGCGCAACTCATGTGCTTGTGGCATATTGCAGAAAGTTGCATACATGAAAGGCAGATCCATAAATAGTTACACAGCAGAAAGATAAACTGATGTCCAGAACATTTAAGAGATAGTAAGTATCCAGAACATTTAATGCTGTTTAAGATTGGCCAGCTTCACAATGTGCCTCACTTTTTATGGGAGTGATTGAAATAATATTTAGAATAATAATGTAGAATTAGAAATAATAAAAGATAAATCAAAAATTCTGACATCTTCATTAGTGTGGAGTTTAAAAGGTGAACATAATGCTGTCTCCTTCTTTCTGAAGTAAATGTCAAGTCACCCATGTTCATCTAAGTGTGCTAACCAATCAACAGATGAGTGAAGGGCATTGTGCGTATTCCTTTACTGGAGCTCTCTAGTTCCTTAATGGGTTGCAACCTATATCTGCAGCCAGTACTCCACTTAAATTCACAGCATTTCTGATCATTTCAAAAATGACCCACCAATTCCGTGGAAGGCCAAAATCAGGCAGCTGAACTTTTGGACTTGTTACTAAATATATATGAGTTATGTTTGAATCTTGTTCTTACCATATAATACGCCATATGGGAGTTATCTAAAGGTTTTTTAGAGAAATTTTCCAAAAAGGAATGCCTGGAGCAGGCAGAAGGCATTGATTCTGTGGATTAAACATGCCTTTAAGTAGTGGTAGATGTAGCATATTTTGCACCTTAGGGAACTGCTTTGGCAAGGCATCCTGCCAGAAAGTGTAACACTGGACAGGATTGGCTATATTAGTAAGTTGGTCTCATAATACTTCTTATAGGGCAGAGTATCTACTGTCCTGTGTGAGACAAGCTGAATTACATACACAAAGGTGCAAGATTCCAAACATTAGCTCCTCTAGTTTAACCAGCTGTTTTGTTATCAACTTGTTTTCTGACCTTTATTTCCAACAAGATCTTGATAAACCCATGTTTGAAAGTCAAGGTACTGTCCACTGTGGCACCTAGATACACAG